CAACGAAGCGCTTGTGTCGACTTGCTTGGGAGGTCCTCATGTGGACCCCAAAGCAAAGCTTGCCCATTTTAGAAAGGGACACTGTCAGGCCCCCCCAAAATACACGTTTCTGGAAATACATTGAATAATATGCATGCATTGTATTATCCTTTATATTAGCAATGTCTTTTTTTGGCTGATCCTAATCGAAAAGAAGTTAGCAAAGTGTACAAAAGTAGAAGCTGGATCGATGGTAAAAATAAGGGACACGGTCTCTCTAAAACATATCAGACTCATTCAGACTCCTCTAAAAAAGACATACATAAGGTGTAGCAGATTAGGAGCCTTTGGCAAAGGCTGGGAGGGAGGGTCGACCATTTTTGGGGGGGGTCGACCCCCCCCTCCAGATTAGGAGCCTTTGGCAAAGGCTAGGAGGGAGGGTCGAAACTCGAATAAATGCAGGAGAGTTGGATATTTTGTATATATTTTCGGTCGACCCTCCTCCCAAGAAAATGGAGCCTCCAGCCAAGTCTAGCAGAGCAGAGTGAAAAAGAGGTGTTTCCTTTTGAAACTAATTGTCACAATTTTTGGAATGTATAAAACCTACTTTAAACTGAAGCATGCTGGTACTACAGTATAGTGTGTTAATATTGATGCTTTCACCATTAAGGCTGAAGATGAAAAGAACCCAAGGGAGTAGCTTTTATTATTAACATTGGAGGCTGGAGAGTGAGCAAGTCTATGGATATTAAATTACCCAATGAACTTTACCAAGTTGTAGAAAATCAAATTGTAGAAATACCAACATTGCATCTAAGGATAGAGAAATTCAACATGATGAGTATGATACTGATAGTGATGATATTGTTAGTAGAATTGAGAAAGTGAACCAGGTACGTAATGATTAGGATACTACGTGCAGGAGCAAGCAAAAGTCATATCTGCCAGAAAATGGTTGATAATGGTTACTCAATATTTTTTGTATGCCGTACTAATAGGTTACCACACTAATTTGAAGTTGATGCCAGAACAATAAACAATAACACTATTTTTGGTATGCGTTTTGGTGCTGTTTAAATGGAACCATTTTATTATTCAGAATTTGATGTCATAGCAATTGATCAAATCCATTTCATCGGTTTGAGTGTTTATTGCAAAGCCACGCAGTTTGTTGAGCATTTTTTGCAACACGTGATACCAAACAGCTAAAACCAGTTCAGGAGCTGACAAATAGGTATATCAAAGAGCTTCTTTTGCAGCACTATTTCTGGAATGTATAAAACCTACTTTAAACTGAAAGCATGCTGGTATTACAGCATAGTGTGTTAAGATTGATGCGTTCACCATCAAGGCTGAAGATGAAAATAAACCAAGGGAGTGGCTTTTATTAATAAGATTGGAGGCTGGAGAGTGAGCAAGTCTGTAAATATTAAATTACCTAATGAACTTTACCGAGTTGTAGAAAATCAAATTGTAGAAATACCAACATCTAAAGATGGAGACATTCAAAATGATGAGCATAATACTGATAGTGATGATATTGTTAGTAAAATTGAGAAAGTGAACAATGTAACAAATGATTAGGATATTACTTGCAGGAGCAAACAAGTGCCAGAAAATGGTTGATAAAGGCTACACAATATTATTTGTATGCCCTACTAATAGGTTATTGCACGAATTTGACAGTGGCAATTGAGTGTTTCTTGGAAGGCCACATAGTTTGTTGAGCAATATCTTTTTTGCCACACGTGATACCAGACAACTAAAATCAGTTAATGAGCTGGCAAATACCAAAGATTATGAAACATTATGCTGATGCCATGATTGACAATATGTTTGAGCATAAACTATGTTAGAGGATGAAAAAAAACAAAACAATATCAAGAACTATACACTCGTCAACATACAACATAGCATATTTGAATAAGACCTGGAAACCAATCTTATAACTCATCATATGTTTGAGTTAAAAAGAAAAACACTGAACACCACGTAGGCCCGGGGGGGGGGTGGCGTCCCACGGGACAGCGCTGTGGAGATCCTGGGCCGGGTAGGGCGACTCCCACGAAACTCGTGCAGCCCGGCGTCCAGGAGGAGCCAAAAGCCCGAAGAAGTCCCAGTAACTATAGATCCAGGACCCACACCTTTGTAGCTAGAAAGTCCCAGCAACCAATTCGTTTGAAGGATCTATGAGGCAAATCAGCCAAGTAACCAAGTATCAGTGGTTCACCCCCGATCAAACAAGATGTCAATGGCAGACGGCACAAACCGTGACACGGAAGCACAGAGAGAGAGAGAGAGAGAGAGGGAAGAGAGAGAGAGGGAAGAGAGGGAAGAGAGGGAGAGAGAGAGAGAGAGAGGGAAGAGAGAGAGAGAGAGGGAAGAGAGGGAAGAGAGAGAGAGAGAGAGCGAGAGAGAGAGAGAGAGAAAAGAGTGAGATAGAGAGAGAGAGAGAGAGACACACACACACAGAGGACGAAGACTTATCATACCAAGGAACATCGTCTTAATCAAACTGGTCCTCCATTGTACCGGTTCCTGGTCTTCCACGGACGATCCTTGGTGTCGGACCGGGTGGGGTGAGGTTTGCTGCGCCGGTGGATCTCTCGCAGGCTGTGCCGGGGCAATCGACCGTTTCACCAGGTGTTTGTCGCCATGACTCGGTGGTGGTAACACAGGGTGAGAGATTCACCAAGAGATCCTTGGAAAAGCACGGTGAGTCTTCTCCTTGAACTTCTCAACCATCCCTTTTTTGGATGGAGAGAGGTCGGGTTGGACAGGGTCCAGAGGACACACAAGTACCCAGGTTCCCAGGTTCCGGCAGTGACGGACGACCTCGGTGATGGGCCCGGACGTCCGACTGACAATGCTGGGTGTAGGTCGACCGAGGAATGTAGGTCGACCTTGCGACCGGTTCCAGCTTAATCCCATGTTCTTAATTTCCAAGAACGACCAATTATACACTCTTGACCATGCGTCAGACGTCCCTCTTAAAGGTCTTAGCCTGAGCCCAACCCCCAGCCGGGGCTGGAACAGTTCTTTTTCTGAGTCTTGAGATGTCTTGAGTATTCCGGGACACTGGAAAGGCCGTCACATTCCGCAGATGGTTTTGCCTGGGCATCAAGAAGGTCTCTATCAACCTCAGTTGGGCAGGAAAGGTCTTCCATCAGCGATAGTTCAGAATTGTTTAATCACTAGCCTTTTCACCATGTCTACCTCTACGTCGTTCCACGAAAAGAACGAAGATCGTCCAGATGTCCATTTCTTTTTTCTGTACGCAACACCTTTAATCAAACAACTGCGACAGGGACTCCCAACCGAGTGCCGCCGCGGTTGTTCCGGACCTTTGGCCAGGAGGCGGAAGTGGTGAGGGAGAGCTCCGAAGATACGAACCGGGAAGAGCGGGACGAGTGGAGGCGGTGATGGGAGAGCGAAGATCGTTCTGAAGGAAAAACACATGGATCAGAAAGAAAGAAAGAAAGGGAACAAGAAAAGGCCACCCGGGTCACCCTTTCAGATGGGCCTTCTCTGTTGATTTTTTCGGCCCTCTCTCTCTCTTGTTTAACCGCTGTTATGATCAATTCAAAGCCTTTAACGTTGATGATATGGTCAGTGTTTTTTCCTTGCTTTCTGCCTTTCAAGCCCCGGGGCTTTTGGGAGTCTCAGTCAGAAAAAGGACAGGGCTCGTCCGTTTTGGATGACGCAAATGAACCAAATGAATCCTTTGTGCTTTGTTCGGGCTTGATCATACAAGGACGAGGTTGAGCCGAAAGCATGTTCAATCCGATCTAGGGTTCGCCGCGTGAGGTATGGACAGGGTTCAAGTCAGAACTATTCAATAGCCACAAAAGGGCAGTGCGCTTTGAATCCACATCCGCGATGATTGAACAATATACATTCGCAACAGCAGCACATGGACTGTAATTATTTACCTCCTCGACTAAAACAACATATCGCGTAAAAATTATAGTAAACTATTCAGTGTGTGTCATCGCAGCCCAATGTATATGGCAAGCGGGTCTTAATCATACGCAAGGCCACACCCAGTGATCTAGGCAATCCAGTGACCATCAATTCATATACACCATGGAAGAGGCTCACATGGAACCTGAACATGGGCCTTTGGAAGACGATGGTCCTCTACAAACCGGGCGTGGTTTTCAGGTTCTATGTGGGTCTCTTCCAGGGCGCAATTATTCGATCCATAGTTGCTTGTGGAGCGAAGATCCCAAGTAGGTTGGTTTAGTTTTGAGTTATGAATCCTGCAAGCCAAGAAAGCCCGGTCTAATCCGATCAACGTTTCGTCTCCATCGAACAACATCCAGCTGAATGTGAGGCTTTTCCAGGGCACATCTTCTATTTTTGCAGAAGGGGCGAATGTCGGCATAGGTATCAAAAAAAAAACAAAAAGAGCATCAAAAAAAAACAACAGGATAAAAAAAAAGCGAATCAAAAAAACATATTCCTTGATAGGCCTCTTCTGCTGCTCTCCTGGCCTTGTGGTCTGCGGGTCCTCTGGTAATGTGGTCCCTTGGTCCT